GCATCTGTAGAAATGACTTGAAAGCCTATGCCTTCCAATCTACCTATTAATAAAATGCTCCGCTGGGCGCAGCTTGATACGACCGCAAACGTCAAACCCTGAACAGTTGGGGCAAGTATGGACACAACATTCAAGTTTGATACAGCACTGAATTTGGATTGCGATTAAATATTTGACACAACACAGGTTTCTGACACAGAATGAATGTGCTCTAAGAACTAAAAATTTTTTAATTTACCTGTTCAAACCATATCATTATTTGCTTTTATATATTAATCAGAAATAACCAATTTAAAATGGAAAATTTATGATTCTTCACCCCCAAACTCAATCCCAGCCTTCCCTTTGTGGTATAGTACCTGCAGTACAATTTCAGAGAGATCCATACACTTGAACACAAGTTATTGTCTGTAAACCAGAAAAATGCTTGTTTTTTGGCCCCAAATTCCTAAACGTTTAGGGCAATTACCCCAAACTCAAACCCAGCTTTCCCTTTGTGATCTGGAACCTTGTAGTACAATTTCATAAAGATCCATACACTTACAAGTTATTGTCCTGAAACCAGAAAAATGCTTGTTTTTTGCCCCTTTTTTGGCCCCTAATTCCTAAAATTTTGAGGCAATTACCCCCAAAATCAATCCCAGCATTCCGTGTGATATGGAACCTTGTGGTACAATGTCAGAGAGATCCATACACTAACACACAAGTTATGTCTGGAAGTTACAAAAATGCTTATTTTTGGCCCCTAATTCCTTAACTGTTGGTACCATAACCCCCAAAATCAATCCCAACCTTCCTTTTGTGGTATTGAACCTTATGGTAAAATTTCATAGAGATCCATTCACTTAAACTAAAGTTAGAGTGCGAAAACCAATGTGTCTTCTGACGACGACGACGCCAACATCATACCAATATACGACCACAAAATTTTTTTGCGGTCGTATAAAAATTACAGAAGCACCTTCATAAGCTGAGTTGCGATTTTTATTGATTTGTAGTACTATAGATTTTACGGGTCAGGTGCTAATTACTTTTTGGCTTTGGAGATAAAAACTGTCAAATGATGGAAAACCAAAGATTTGCCCAAATCTAAAGTCTAAACTGCTACTGTGACCTGACTTTCAACCAAGTGATTTCAAAATCAATAGGGTATTTATCACCAACAAGGCAGTTATCCCCTAAACATTGATTAAGATCTGATTAATGGCTCTGCGACAGATATTATCTTGGATAATATTTTCCAAAATTGGTACATCAATAAGAACAGTGAACTTGACTTTCATCTACTTAGTCATTGTGTGCGGTTTCACCAGTACCAAGAGAAGTGAATAGATACAACATGGCAGGTACACATATAGGGTAGGAAAAATTTGGAAATGTATATATTACAAAACAGATATTTTATATAGTGAACATCTACAAAATAAACAAAACTATTGCAAAATCCTGTAAAAATCAAAGAAAAAACTTTCCCATGCTTATTAAATTGAAATCACTTTAAATACTTGTAATTCAGTTGATTAAATAACAAAATTCAATAACAATTATCTAACATTTTTCTTTTTTGAACTGAAAAGCAGAAGGCATAAATAAAATTTCATTGCCATGATTACTGGTGATTTCAAAGCAACTTTATGATCACATTTGTCTTGTTAATAACTTTTTTTCTTTCTTTGAATCTTGTAGGCTTCAATTTTTAAGCATGGAAAAACTAAAAAATCCAGGAAGAAAGTAAGAATCCATCATGAAGTCAGCTGACATACCTGAGAACTGTGAAGACCCTAGCCATTTTTCCAATGGCTCTGATTTTGTTCCTAATCACCTCTTTTCTTGCTGCCACTGCACCATCTGTAATGTAATTAACAAACACACACTGAGATTTAAGTTGTCAAGCTAACATACCTGAGTACTGAGAAGACCCTAGCCATTTTGCCTATGGCTCTGATCTTGTTTTTAGTCACTTTTTTCCTAGCTGCTACTGTACTCCCTGGAATCAAAGCACATCTGCATTTTACCCTGCTATAGAACAGTTAAAACACATGAACTGACATTCCTTCTAGTGCCATCTTGTGCTGTGTTAAATGAACTTGATTTTTCAATTAGTTTATATCATTGTTTCTGTCAAAAAAAATGACGAAAACTGTCTCTTTGTTTTCAAAACAAAACAATTTCAATAAGCAGAGAATTTCCATAAGGGAGAAGTTACAACTAAAATGTTAAATCATAAAAATAAAATTTAGAATCATAAATAAAACTTATCTATGTAAAAACTCAGCAAGGCAAATGCAAAGCCTTATCTAAACCTACTTGTGCTATTACTCCATTCAGATTTGCAGCTTTTGATCATCGGCAGCATTTCAATATTTATATAGTAAAATAGCCAATTCTTGTTGCACAGCTGCAGTTGAAACAATTTACTAACAAAGCAACTAGCTAGACTCATCAAATATCTTTTTATTTAAATTAAACATCATGTGCTAGAATAGCTTGCACTCAAAACTGGTGGGTTACCAGATAAAGAACAGCAGAAAATTGGAGTCCAGGGTTCACTAGTGACAAACAAATTCTACTTATTACCAGTGTAATTGTTAGTCCAACTGACTGTGAACCCTGGTGTTTGCAACATACTAACAACTAGCACAGGACTACTACAAAAAGCAAACAAATGACTAAGACATAATCAGTAAAAAATATTGAGGTGAATTAGAGCAAAGTAAAAAGCGTGGAAAGATCTGAAAGATAAGGCATTATTCTGATTATTTGGTTATATAAGTCAGACAGAGAGTCAAGCAACTAAGCTGCCTGACTTGTTAGTGGCCTCACATGACCAGTATTTAACAATGCATCAATGTTAACATGGTCAAACATGTCAAACATGCAAGCTTGGTAAAGTCCTTAGAAAATAGGACTGGCAACATTTCCACTAGAAACATTTGTTTTTGTATCAGTGATTACATGATTAAAAATGGAGTTAAGTGTTCATGATTTTATAATGTGTTCCTGATTTGTTTGTTACAATATTCCTCACATATGAAATTTATTATTCTAAAAACCATTTCAACCCCTAAAATTTCTAAAGACAAGTTACACATGGTACTGCAAGTTAAGTTGGGAAATATTGTTATTATCATCATCACTATTGTTGTTATTATTATACATAAAACATTCATTTATATGAAGGTTATTGAACTACTGCACTGTTATACATTTGTCGGTACATATAATTAGGTAAAAACATAGATCAAACTTGACATCACAGAATGCTGTGTGAGTTGTACTTAAAAAAAACCAGGAACACAATATATAAAACCATATGTTTAGCCATGTCAGATTATTTTTTCAGGACTTTAGACTTACTTGTCTCTCTGTCTACCTCTTTTATTGTTATTTTTCTCGCCTTGTCTAGAATTTAAAGATTTGAGAAGAGTTGAGAAAGATGCAAACAGATATGCGGAAAAATTCTACAAATTAAAGATTATACACTGTAACACGATTAAAATATGCAAACTAGCATTTTTAAAGGTAATATAGTTATTAATATATAAAGCTTGGGCTGTGCACTTACCATTACGCTGCCCTAATTGAGCACATGCAGGGATTTTCAAGGAACCCAACAAGAAAAGAAAAAGAAGAAAACAAAACACATTTACAAACATTCATCAAAAACATAACAAAAATTTGTGTAGCACAGCTTGCAAAATAAATATGTGGCTGATATGTATATATAAACAAGACTGTCCCACTACGACATTGTTAAAATAAGAAAACGTAAATTTAAAATGAGAAAAAAATTTTTTTTTACACAAAGAAATTTTGAATGTTTTTTTTTCTTCAATTAACTGATCAAAACTACTGGATAATTTTCTAATGGAACAGCTTTTTAATTCATTTTTGTGATGTTACTTCCAGCTTCCAAACAATTAAAAGGTTTTCCAATAATGAATCATTAGTTAATTAATCTGATATTTGTTTAAACTTTTATGAACACATTTCTTTAGTGACATCACAAAAACAAACATTAACATTAAAGCAACCTGCACACTCAATTTTTAATCATTTATTATCTGGATTAAATATAACAATAACAGTATACTGGTGATTTTCTAGTGTCTACTAAACTTAAGCAAGTTAACTTTCAATTCAAAATTCAAAACACCATGCCACTTCATACATATCAAAATACTTTGAGATTTGTGGTAAAAAAAAAAAAAAAAACATTGACAGATAGAAGAAAAGCTTTTCCCATAACAAACACATTAACAAGATAAAACTTTTATCACAGAGATGTGTCTCGCCTTTTTTAATTTTGATAATCCAAATGTTGAAATTAAAATAGCAATACTTTAACATGTAAGTTATGCAAATGTTCAAAGTCGATGAACCATGACTTGAAGGTACATGGCTAAACAATCTCCATGGAAATGAGATGTGCCAATGCTAATACAACTGCATACCAAATACCATTGACTTATTATAAGTCGTTCCCTTTAAACAAACCTAAACACAAACATTAACTTGTAAACTACGTAAAAGTTTCAAAGTCAATGAACCATGATGAGGGGGTGGGGCTATATAATCTCCATGGAAACAATACTTGCAAATGCCAATAAATTTGAATACCAAATATCATTGACTTAACATTAGCACTTTATCTTAAACTGATCTTATCACAAACTAATACATGTAAACTAAGCAAAAGTTTCAAAGTCAATAGACCATGACTGAGGGGGCAGGGTCAAATATTCTCCATGGAAATGAGATGTGCTAATGCTTATACAACTGAATACCAATCAGCATTGGCCTACCACTAATAGTTCCCCTTGAAGTGACCTAATCACAAACTAATACATGTAAACTAAGCAAAATATTCATAGTCAATAGACCATGACTAAGGAGCAGAGCCAAATATTCTCCATGGAAATGAGATAGGCCAATGCTTATACAACTGCATACCAAATATCAATGACCTACCACTTGTGGTTCACCATAAACTAGACCTAATCACAAACTAATACATTGTTGACGACGACTCCGCTGCCGGAAACAGCATACCTATGTCTCGCTTTTCGACTCCGTCAAGGCGAGACAAAAATTAAGCATTTTTGTTTTTACAACCTTCTGACCATAAATTTTAGCAAATATGAAGAGAAATTCAAAAACTTCATAGAACAGGAATTGTATAGAAAAATCAACAACATTTATGAAAATTGAAAAATATTCAGAAATAAAAAGATCATGGTACAGCTGCTTTTTTTAAAACTAAATCAAGAAGTATGTGTCTGACAATGTCTCACACATTACAACCCATCACTGTCACGCTGCATAACAAATATGAAGTCATTCTGTTAATTAGTACCCAAGGAAAGTGTGGGAAACAGGAAGTAGGTGTCTGACACATTACAACCCATCACTGTCACACTGCTTAACAAATATGAAGTCATTCTGTTAATTAGTACCCAAGGAAAGTGTGGGAAACAGGAAGTAGGTGTCTGACACATTACAACCCATCACTGTCACACTGCTTAACAAATATGAAGTCATTCTGTTAATTAGTACCCAAGGAAAGTGTAGGAAACAGGAGGTAGGTGTCTGACAATGTCTCACACATTACAACCCATCACTGTCACGCTGCTTAACAAATATGAAGTCATTCTGTTCATTAGTACCCAAGGAAAGTGTAGGAAACAGGAAGTAGGTGTCTGACAATGTCTGACACATTACAACCCATCACTGTCACGCTGCTTAACAAATATGAAGTCATTCTGTTAATTAGTACCCAAGGAAAGTGTGGGAAACAGGAAGTAGGTGTCTGACAATGTCTCACACATTACAACCCATCACTGTCACGCTGCTTAACAAATATGGAGTCATTCTGTTAATTAGTACCCAAGGAAAGTGTGGGAAACAGGAAGTAGGTGTCTGACACATTACAACCCATCACTGTCACACTGCTTAACAAATATGAAGTCATTCTGTTAATTAGTACCCAAGGAAAGTGTAGGAAACAGGAGGTAGGTGTCTGACAATGTCTCACACATTACAACCCATCACTGTCACGCTGCTTAACAAATATGGAGTCATTCTGTTAATTAGTACCCAAGGAAAGTGTGGGAAACAGGAAGTAGGTGTCTGACACATTACAACCCATCACTGTCACACTGCTTAACAAATATGAAGTCATTCTGTTAATTAGTACCCAAGGAAAGTGTAGGAAACAGGAGGTAGGTGTCTGACAATGTCTCACACATTACAACCCATCACTGTCACGCTGCTTAACAAATATGAAGTCATTCTGTTCATTAGTACCCAAGGAAAGTGTAGGAAACAGGAAGTAGGTGTCTGACAATGTCTGACACATTACAACCCATCACTGTCACGCTGCTTAACAAATATGAAGTCATTCTGTTAATTAGTACCCAAGGAAAGTGTGGGAAACAGGAAGTAGGTGTCTGACAATGTCTCACACATTACAACCCATCACTGTCACGCTGCTTAACAAATATGGAGTCATTCTGTTAATTAGTACCCAAGGAAAGTGTGGGAAACAGGAAGTAGGTGTCTGACACATTACAACCCATCACTGTCACACTGCTTAACAAATATGAAGTCATTCTGTTAATTAGTACCCAAGGAAAGTGTAGGAAACAGGAGGTAGGTGTCTGACAATGTCTCACACATTACAACCCATCACTGTCACGCTGCTTAACAAATATGAAGTCATTCTGTTCATTAGTACCCAAGGAAAGTGTAGGAAACAGGAAGTAGGTGTCTGACAATGTCCGACACATTACAACCCATCACTGTCACGCTGCTTAACAAATATGAAGTCATTCTGTTAATTAGTACCCAAGGAAAGTGTGGGAAACAGGAGGTAGGTGTCTGACAATGTCTGACACATTACAACCCACCACTGTCACGCTTCTTAACAAATATGAAGTCACTCTGTTAATTAGTACCCAAGGAAAGTGTGGGAAAAATTTCAAAATATTGGCAAATAGGAAGTAAGTGTCTGGCAGATCCTTAGTGTGTTCTGATTTCACAACTTATCACTGAAAAGCTGCTGATCATATGTATAGTAATCAATACAGTAGTACCAGAGAAAAGTGTGTTGCACAAAGGGACTGGTGAACAAACAAACAAATGTCTTCTTCACTCCTAAAACACAATCTCAAACAATCAACAATACTTTGAATGCTTTATAGCCTTAACTTCTAGAGTTAATATGAGTTTCAAAAGCTTGTTTTCTAACAATGTACTATGTAGGAACATGTACTACATGCACAACAAATGGGTAAGTGAAGTACTGCAGCGAATCACTTCTAGTACCATTTTAAAATTAGTCTTACTCTAGCTAGAATTCTATTCATATTCTCAGTGTATTATCACCAAATTATATCTATACTTGAAGGCTTGCAAGAGGTAAATTTACTGGGAAATCCAATACCTGTGTGGCAGAAAAATTCATATGCCAGAATTGATCTTATTTCTATACTCCAGACTTAACAGAATTGTCTATCAACTCTCATAAATTCAGCTTAATTTTAATAGGATCAGATTTAGACATTCAAATGAAGTTAATATTATTTGTAAAACAGTGCAGTGAGTGACAATGATGTGAAACCTTTAACACTGACCCTATTATATGAGCAGGCCCCTTCACTCCTAAAACACTAGCTCAAACAATCAACAATACCTTGTATCAATATTGGCACTGAAATAAACTTTTGTTTCAGACTATCTCTCTCAAAACTTTCTTTTTAGAAGCTAGTGTTTACTTTCTCGAGTCAAATTCATAATACTATACGTTGTGACATAATTAGTACCATAGTACATGATACTCGTTCGACAAATGACAGAAGCATGTCTTCTGAACATAATGAATTGAGTTGTTAATAATTATGTATTGCTATTTTATAACAGTTAAGTTTCAAGTATACATGTAAATAAATTGATAAGTCATCAATGGGCAGGTTATTTGAAGCACAAAGAGCTCTATATATTATGTCTATATTGGAATTTCAATAAACTGTTTTAGTCATGTATAAATACTTTTTATTTTCTGGTGCAATTTAAATGTTTCTACACATATCGACTTATTCTCACTGTAAAACAGAATACAGAGAAGTTAAACTTACCATCTAAGATCTCGTCGCCTGCCATTATAAGCTCATCATCTGAGCAAATATTCAATACATTCACTAACATTTCTGTAACTGTAAAACAAATGTCTTCTGTTAGAATTAGTTTGTGACTAATGTGATTAATATGATTAATTTATTTACAAATATTAAATAGAGCTGGACACCTGTCTATTGTTGAACATTGTATGATGCCCTGTAATGTTGTTTGATTATTTATGTTGTTGGGTTGCTGTTATTGATGAAACCACACACCTTTTATTCATACGAATGTGTTATTCTGGATAAAATATTGGATTTCTAAAAATAAGCCAAACTTAGCATCTGTGAAAATTACTTTTTATAATATGACATTCATGAATTGATTAAAATATACAGATGCTAATACAATACCATACCAAATTTCAGTGGTACAAGAGCTCAAAGTACTTCAGAATCAATCTCTGAAAGTGACTTCTCTTCTAACAACTTACAAGAAGAAGTTGTGTGCAAATTTTAAAAGAAATGCATGTTCTCACACTCAATTTAATGTTCAGTTTTTACAATATTGCTTTTTAATCTGTATTTTAAGTCTTCCTACATATTTCATTCTTTTTTGTTAAATACAAATTCAATGTTTAATTGCTTTTAATAGTTACAAATAACTATACATATTGTGTACCAGTCAAACAACTGTACTTCTATTATATATCTAATTACTTTTAAAAAAGAATTTATACAAAGACGAATATAGGTAATTAATGTAATACAGATTTTAGTCATTGTCTGTCCACCTTGTGTAACTAAAGCTCCTGCATCATTGGCAATTTGTAACAAAGTACGAATGAAATAACACTTTATAACCTTTATCAATTTCTAAAATAATATCACTTAAATTGAACTTTTGATCTTTTCAAAAGAAATTTATAATAACAAAGCTAAAAGAATAATGTTGACCTCAAACTCGAAAAAAACATTATCTTGTCAAAACTTTTTGTAGTTTCATTCAATGAACAACTATGTATTTACAAAACTTTTTTTTTACCCAAACTGAAAGTCTATAAGTGTAGAGGCTATAATATAAATATAATTGTCTGCATCATCATGTCTTGTACAAACCTTTGTCTTGTACAAACCTTTTTCTCCTACAAATGGTAATGACCAGGTAAATACATCCATAAAATTGGGTAACCAATATGGATGTGGGGAACAATTAAATTGCCTGATGTTCATCACATTATTTTCATATTTCAATATGGCAGCTGAAAAAAATCAAAAAATCATTCAAACGTTTTGTAGACAAGATATTAATCATGATAAATATGTGATCAACATATGAATTTAATATTATGCTGTTCTTGACATCATATATTATGGTTCTAATATGACGTTCTTCAAATGCTTCGAGTACACACCAGTGATAAAATATGAATATATTTATATATTAGCTGATCGACAACATCATGATTCGTTTGGGCTGTTCCAATCTTACTCCCACGTCCTATGCTATTTATGAACGAGTTACCCAAGGTCAGACGGTGTAGACGACATCATTGAAGGATGATGTTAGAATGTACCATAAGCATTCTACAGAAAAAAACACTAAGTGAAAATGAAGGTCGTCTTAACTTGAAAACATATACAGACGTTGATCAAAATTTGTTGAAAGCCCATTTTCTTAAAAGTAAGATAATCATATAACTTTTTTTCAAACCGGTCTTTAATAGTATGTTATTTAAATCATATAATCGTGTCACTCATTCTGTTTTCTTCTTTTTCTCCTTTAATATTAATAGTGTGTTCAATAATGGGAACAGTATATCGTTCAAAATAAATTCAAGCCCCCATGAATTATTTCATAATCCTGCTGACATAAAATTGCCTTGAAAAGTGTGATACTAGTGGACAAAAGTATTCCATCCCTAAAGTCTCCTTTACTGATACTACAGTTGCAATATTTACCTACTGGTTTATCTAAATTGTATTTCGCCTGGAGTAATAAGATATGTGAATGCCATTACATCCTATATCAAATATTGAGTTTTCATTTCTTTGTTTTCAGAATTTATCACATCTTGTTATTCAACTTCATAATACAGTGCTTCTGCACCAATTTTCATTTTTTTAAATAGAATTATGCATTTTCTACTGCAGAGAATATGTTCCATCTGTTTCTATATAAGCATCTGGTACATTCAATAAACAATTCTTACCTTTATTATTATAAACATCTAAATAATTAGGTGCTGAAAATATCGTAATTAATGAAGGAAAGCCTGTGGTTTGACTTTTTCTATACATTCTGTACCTGTAATAGACATGAAGGATGATTTAATGATATCTGATAATATGCATGGCCAACTCGTTATTTACATAAGCTCAAGCACAAGAAAACATTCATTTAAAAAAAAATCTTTTTCTTGCTTTTTTAAAAAGTATTCTTACCAATTGTTAGTACATTGCACAGATTAAAGATTGGTATTTAAATTTACTGATTTTTTCGACATTACAGTATTGTGACCATTTATTTCAATGCTATCTATGAAGATATGAAAATATACAATGAAAAACTCAAGTAGTGCTTACAACCAAAAAACTCAAAAATTTCTGAATTTACAGTATTAACCTTGGCCTTTGCAAAACATCAGATTTAGAGACACAAACTGAGTTTACCTATTGAAGAGTAGCCAAGGATGCAACTGAACCGAATCTGTATGGGAACCATCAAATGATTGTGCCTACTTATTTTGGGTTCATTAGTTATGTAGTTCTGCAGAAGAAAATTGAATTTAGCCCTTTAAATCATGATCCTATTAAGTTGTAAACTCACCCAGCATCTTGCGCTTCATGAGCTCGTATAATTGATAATAGATTATTCTGCTGTAAAAAATCACAACATGCTGCATAGCTGAAAACAAAATAAATTCTTCATGAATTTATCCATTATTTAAAATTTACCTGAACCAAACTTTTTAGATCCAATGAATGGATTGAAGTTTTACATGTTAAATTTAATTTTTTGAAAAGGTTTTCTTGTGAATTCACAAATAATAAATTGCTTCGCTGAGCGCAGCTGGATACGACCACAGATGTCCAACCCTGAAAAGTTGGGGCCAAAATGGACACAATATTCATGCTTGACACAGGTCTGAATTTGGATTGTAATTAAATTTTTGACACATAATGGGTTTCTAACAGAGAATAACTGTAGTCAAAGAACTTCAAATTGGTTATATGATTTGAATTTATATTCAATTTTTTGCTTTCGTGCAAAACACTATGCGAATTGACCCCAACCCCCCAAAAAAATTTTACCTCGTTTTTTGGGGTTTGTGCAATACACTATGCTGTTGTGCTGTTGAATATTAACCTCCCCCCCCCCCCAAAAAAAAATATTTGAAGAAATTTTCTTTTAATTTCTGAAATCTGAAATGAGAAAAATTGTCCCCCTCCAATTTTTTTCACCTCCCCCCTTTCCCTTATTCAAAAAAGTAATTCTTTCCCTCAATTTATGGTCAGTATCTCAGACAATCACCATTCTTAATACATAATTTACAAGCAGTGTAAGGGAGGTAATCAAACATTGTTCCTTAAATTGATTTGGGTTACCTCCCTTACACTGCTTTTAAATTGTCTCAATTGTCCTTTTAACAAGAAAAACCCTTGTTTTTGCCCCTAAATCCTCAATGGTTTGAACCATAACCCCCCAATAGTCAATCCTAACCATCCCTTTGTAGTACGGAAACTTGTGGTATAATTTCAGAGAGATTCATACACTTTAACACAAGTTATTGTCTGGAAACTACAAAAATGCTTATTTGGGCCCCCTTTTTGGCCCCTAATTCCAGTCAGTTGGGACCATAACCCCCAAAATCCATCCCAACCTTCCCTTAGTGGTTATAAACCTTGTGTTGAAATTTTATTGATTTCTATTTACTTATACTAAAGTTATTATCCGGAAACCATCTGTCTTTGGACAACGCTGACGACGACAATGACAACATGATACAAATATACCACCAAATTTTTTTTTAATTTTTGCGGTCGTATAAAAAAATCAACATAAAAATGTTTGGTTTGTCTTTAAAATTCAAGATTTGTCACTGATGTCTACATATTAAATGTTGAATATGAAAATGTTCTCTATTATGCAAGGAATTCATAATCTGATTTGCTTCATTTTCAAATATTCACCTGTAAAAATATGAGCAACCCCTGACACTATTATGAGTAAAGTGCTCTGTAGTCTTTTCTGTTCCGAAATCTTCTAATGGATCTGACCATAAAAGATCACACATTGGACCAAATGCTGGAGGTTCTTTAAATCTGTCCAACTGAAAATGTAAAACTTAAAACTGATAAATTTAAAAAAAAAAAACTCTCAGCCCAAAGATCATGAAATCTAAAAGACCTAAAAAAGCTGAAATTTTGACATGAAAATATAGTTCTTCCTCATTACAATTTTTTTTACTTACTTATCCTATTTTTCTAAAAGAAACCCTGAACAATCATTTTTTGTTTGGCCCAAGTGTTATACTGATTTAAACTGTTGAACCAGCATCCTTTACCG